CTTCCTGTCTCTGTGTCACATTTTGGTAATTCTCACAATATATCAAACTTATTATTATTATTATATCTGTTGTAGTGATCTCAAAATCAATGATCTGTGGTGTTACTATTGTGATTGTTTGAGGGTGCCATGAACTGCACCCATATAAGATGGCAAACTTAATCAATAAATTTATGTGTGTTATCACTGCTCCACAAAACGGATGTTTCCCTATCTCTCTGTCTCTCCTAGGGCCTCCTTATTCCCTGAGGCATGACAATATTGCAAAGAGGCCAATTAACAACCCTCTAATGGCTTCTAAATGTCAAGTAAAAGGAAGAGTTGCACATCACTCACTTTTGATGAAGCTAGAAATGATTAAGCTTAGTGAGGAAATTATGTTGAAATCCAAGAAAGGGCAAAAGTTAGGTCTCATGTGCCCGCCAAACAGCCAAATTGTGAATGCAAAGGAATCATTCTTGAAGAAAATTGAAAGTACTATTCCAGTGAAAGCACAAATGATAAGAAAGCAAAACAGAATTATTTCTGGTATGGAGAAAGTCTAGGTGGGCTGAACAGAAAATTAAACCAGTCACAACATTCCCTAATTTAGAGCAAGGCCCTAATTTAAAGCAAGGCCCTAACTCTCTTCAATTCTATGAAGGCTGAGAGAGGTGAGGAACCTGCAGGAAGAACAAGCAAAAAACATGGGAGTTAGCAAAGGTCAGTATGTGAGGTTTAAGGAAAGAAGATTTCTCCATATCATAAAAGCAAGTACCGATGGAGAAGTTACACCAAGTTCTCCAGAAGATCCAGCTAAGAGAATTGATTAAGGTGGCTATACTGAACAACAGATTTCTTATGTGACTGAAACAGCCTTATATTGGAAGAAGATGCCACCTAGGACCTACATAACTACTGAGAAGTCAATGCTTGCCTTCAAAGCTTCAAAGGACAGGCTGACTCTCTCATTAGGGGATAATGCAGTCAGTAGCTTTATATTGAAGCCAATACTCATTTACTATTCCAAAAATTTTAGAGCTCTTAAAAATTATGCTAAATCTGCCTGTGCTCTAGAAATGGAACAATAAAATCTGTAAGACAGTACATCTATTTACAGCATGGTTTACAGAATATTTTAACTCAGTAATAAGATCCACTACTTGGAAAAAGAGATTTATTTCAAACTATTACTACTCATTGACAGTGCACCTGGTCACCCAAGAGCACTGGTGGAGATGTACAAAGAGATGAATTCTGTTTTTATTCTGGCAATACAACATACATTCTGCAACCCATGACCAGGTAGTAATTTTCACTTTCAAGTCTTATTATTTAAGAAACACATTTAATAAGGTTATACTAGTGATTGATGTGAGCAAAGTAAATTGAAAACCTCTTGGAAAGGATTCGCCATTCTAGATGCCATTAAGAACATTCATGATTCATGGGGAGGTCAAAATATTCACATTAATATGAGTAAGGAGGAAGTTGATTCCAACCCTCATAAATGTTACTCCTCCTTTTCCACATGCAAACATCTCCAGAATAGAGCCAGTCTTCATCTGCTTTGGTATTACTTCTGGATCTCATCTTTCTGCCTGAGCCCCTGCATCAGCCTCCTGATGTTCTTAGTTTCTGATACACAAACCACTTCCTTGTTAATCCCATGATTCTTATAAGACTCAAACTTATTATGTCATTTCTCTGCTTAGCTATGTCAGTGAGGATATATAGATGAAAATAAAAATGACATAGTGTTTTCCTACTACAGGGTTATCATTAAAATTAAAGTCTGATAGTATCCAGTATTTTCTCACACACAGCTGGTGAGAGTGTCAACTGGTGTGGTCACTTTGGAGGGCTTCTTCTTGGCAGTATGATCTAAGACTTAAATGCACATATCCTCTGACCCAGCAACTACAGGGTTCCAAGTCTACCCAAGGGAATCTTCCTAGGAGGATTAAGGAGGTATACCAAGGATGTTTATCAAAACTTATTTGGAGTAGGAAAAAAAAAAACCTCAAAAACTTATATGTCCACCAATAGGGAGACGGCTATACTGTGGTATACTGTGTTCTTAAATAGTATGCAGTTTTAAAAACATGATTTATAAGAGGTCTTCAAAAAGTTCATGGAAAATGCTTAATATGAAAAAGCTATGCATGGAGCTCAAAATTTGTGCACCGAATTAAGCTTGTACTAACTTGTTATAACATGTCTGAACAGAATCTAGTTTGAGGCACTAAGCAGGATAAGATATCAGTTTGACAAAATCCCTATCAGAGCAACATGAATTCTGCTAAAATTGAAGCAAGAAGAAACAGCAAATTTCTGGTGAAATTTGGGTGGAAGAATGGAAAAATCATTGATGCTGCACACAAAAAAAGGGTCTGAAGTCAATTCTTCCCAAGTATTAACAGTTTATAAGTGGATAACTCATTTTAAGAAGGAATGAGATGATGTGGAAGATGAAGTCTACAGAGGTGGATCATCCACATCAGCTTTTGAGGATCAGATTAATATTGTCTATGCTCTAAATAAAAAGGACCGATGATTAGCAGCACAAACAATAGTTGACACCATAGACATCTCGATTGATTTAGCTTACACACTTCAAAATGAAAAAATAAAGTTGAGCAAGCTTTCCACTTGATACATGCCAAAACCATTGTGCCCAGACCAGCTGCAGACAAGAGCAGAGGCAAGTGGGGGCAAGGCCCTGAAGCATTTCTTCAAACAATTATAACAAGAGATAAAACATGACTTTACCTGCACAATCCTGAAAACAAAGCACAATCAAAGCAATGACTACTAACAGGTCAAAGTGGTTCAGTCAAAGCAAAACGGACTGGCTAAGAGCAAAGGTCATAGCAACAGTTTTTTGGCGTGTTCAAAGCATTTTGCTTGTTGACTTTCTGGAGGGCCAAAAAACAATAATATCTGTTTATTATAAGAGTGCTTTGAGAAAGGTAGCCAAATCTTTAGTCGAAAAATGCCCAGGAAAGCTTCACCAGAGTTCTTCTCCACCATGACAACACTGCTGTTTATTCCTCTTATCAAAAGCAATTTTCTTGAGAATTTTGATGGAAAATCATTAGACATTACCTCCTGGTTCTAATTTGGCACCTTCTGACATTTTTTTGTTTCCTAATCTTAAAAAAATAAAATATCTAAATGGCACACATTATTCTTCAGTGAATAATGCAAAACAGACTGCACTCACATAGCTAAATTCCCAGGACCCTCAGTGCTCTAGGGATGGACTAAATAGCTAGTATCATCACTTACAAAAATGTCCTGAACATGATAGACTTTATGTAGAGAAATAAAATTTATATTTTTTTAATCTTTATCTTTTAAGTGCATTTTCCCACAAACTTCTTGAAGTCCTGACATATGTCTAAATATACCAACATGGAAAAAAATGTTACAAAGCAATATGTTGTGGGCTGGAGTCCCCCAACCAAGTATCTCCAAATTTATATGTTATAGTTCTAACCATCAGGAGACAGGGTTTTAAAAGAGGTAAATAAGGTAAAACAAGGTCATGTGGTGGACCTTAATACAATATGACTGGTGTCCTTATAAGAAGAGGAGATTAGAACACAGACAGGCACACACAGAGGGAAAACCACTTGAGGACACAGGGAGCAGATGGCCATCTGCAAGCCAAGAGAGGCCTCAGGAGAACTAAACATGCTGATTCCTTGATCTTATATTTCTAACATCCAGAACATGGTGAGAAAATTAATTTCTGTGGTTTAAGCCACCCAGTCTGTAGTACTTTATTACAGCAACCCTAGTAAACTATTACACAATATTAGTGTGTCTTATGAGTGTGTATAGATGCATGTGATATATGGAAAACAGAATTGCAAGAGTTCACCCCAGCCTGATAGCAGTGGTAACTACTGGGGAGAGACTGGGATTGGAATCGGGGATGATGGTTGAAGGAGATTTTGGCCTTAAAAATCAGACTTTTAATTTTTAGAATGAGAAAAATACTCGTATTTGTATATCAGTTTTTTAAAATCCCCTCTTTCATGTCATCCAATTGAACATAGCATAGTACACAATTGACCTTGCCACCTGGACTCATGTCCACTCCCATCCTTTCACCCTTGCATGGCTATTTGCCACACCAGACTTATCCCGTCATTCTACTGCTACCATGCCTCAGTCTGTCCCCTCTGCCTGGAATGTAGCCATTTGTAGATAATGAGCATTGTCTGCAATCTAGGAATTTCTCTTTTTTAAGCTTGGGGTGCTGATCTTCCTCCTTCAGAACTCAGACAAAATGTCACCTACTTTATAAATATGTTGCAAAAAGCCTTAGGCACATCTCTCTCTCTCTTCCTCTCTCTCTCTCTCTCTCTCTCTCTCTCTCTGGTTTAGTTTTGTTTGTTTTTTGAGTTAGAGTTTCACTCTGTCAGCCAGGCTGGAGTGCAGTGGCATGTTCATGACTACCACAGCCGCCTCCACCTGCTGGCTCAGGTGATTGATCCACCTCAGCCTTCCAAGTAGCTGGAACTACAGGCACATGCCACCACACTGGTTAATGTTTTGATTTGTTGTAGAGATGAGACCTCATCAAGCTGCCCAGTCTTATCTCGATCCAGCAGATTTAGGCTCTCCTCCTGCCTCCTCTCCCAAAGTGCTGGGATTATAGGTGTGAGCCATTGTACCTGGCTTGCTGCTTTGATGTCTTATTTATGTTTGTATCCCTGGTCTCTAATCTGTGTTGCAGTCAAGTAAATGCTCAATAAATGGTTCCAAATGAATGAATGATAGGAACATTTTCTTGCAGGTGGTTTTTCTGTCTGGTATATCTCCAAGGTCCAACATTTTATTCTGTGTGTATCAACAAACTCCCTAGAAACCAGATCTGTAATCAGGAAATACACGAGGTCTTACTTTTTAACTGTTCCTTTAATACAATGGGGACAGCTATATTTCTAGGCCAGCCAAGTCCTGTTTGCTTCCAATTTTAGTGAAATCAGCTGAGAATGCATTGCAATTTATTTTATTCAAGTTCTGTGCCCATAGAGCTTTCCAATTAGTTAACCCACAATAGGCTCAAATCAAAAATTTCACTGACCTCTGATTGGAAGGCTCTGATAACCCAGGCCTTACCTTTTCATCGGCTTGGGTGAGCATTCCCTCTCCAGGTTGGAGCTTGTATGTTTCACATGCATTGCATTATAGGAAGTGTGAGTATAGTCATTTTCATCACTGTAGTCAGGACCGAGTAACGTCCGGGCCCAAGTTCCCATATCATAAGGAGGAAGAGTTCCTCCAAATTCAGAGGGCAAAAATTCAGGGTGTATTAGCTGGTGGAGGCTGTTTAAATTGTTTCCATGCAGAAAAATCTGTAAAGAAGAAAAATAATTAGCAATAAAAAAATTCAAAACACATGACCAAGTATTTAATCTAATACACAATTTAGCAATGACAAATTGGATGCACTCTCGGTGATCATGGTGTTTAAATAGGCATTCATTTTGTGACTGTAGCCTAGTCTTCATAAAATATTAATTTATTGCTCAGAAAAGGAACTGAATTAATAGTTGTTAAATATGAAGTTTATGAACAGATTGAGTGTTATTTGGCCATGGGCCAAATTTGCACATATAGTCATCTTCTAATTATCCCTTCTGATGAAAGAAGCGGTTGATACAGACCACCCAATCCCAGCCATGCCTGGATTCCCAGACTTCTCTGTTCTCCCACTGGTGCACTCCTTCCCAGTCCTCCAGATTCTTCTCAGACCTGGACCAAGTTGCAGTTTCTTTTCAAATCTGTTCCAGTGATACCTGAGCATTCTAGGTCTCCCCGCCTGCCCTCCAAGTAACGCTTTCATATTTGCTGACTCCTATTTCTTTCTGATGTATTCATGTATGTTTCACTTTCCCCATAGGAAGAGAATAACTAGGGAAAGAGATGGTGTCCTCTTATTCCTTTAAAATGCTCCTTAGCCACCAGGGTATTGGTGGGTCGAACGTAGAATTATAATCAATTATTATTCAATAAAATTGAGAACTGTGGCCTGATACTTTATTGCAGGATATTCTAGTAGCAATTTTCCCTATTTGTCTGGACTGGGGACTAATTACTAAACAAGTATGCATCTTCTGGACATCCAATGGATAATGATGGAAACTCCCCTCCTCCCAAATTACAATCATTTGCAGACAAATCCACAAAGAGGATTTGTAGATAATTAGCATTGACTGCAATCTAGGAATTGACTCTAAAAGGTGATTTAAAGTATATCTGTGTGATGTCATCAGTTCCCACATTTCATGTTGCAGGCATGAAGTTAATTATGTGTAACACAATAGTTGCAACCAAGTAAAAGACCATCAGTTATACACACATTCATGCACACACCCATGCCACAGTTAACTGTGATTAAAATAAATGTAATTTTAAAAAATACTTATATATAGGATCTCAGTAATAAACACTTGCTATTTTGTTCTATTGGATTTATTTTAAATTATGATATAGTGGCATATTGAAAGATGAAGAGGACAAGACATTCTCATTCTTCAGAAGACCACTGGAGCACTTCAGAAATCAATGTACATTCTCTGACATTGGAAGTAGGTATGACTGAATTTTATTAAGAATTTCCTTTGAAGAAATTCACTTTCTCTGACTTTTATAAAACTTCTCAGAGGGAGTGGTCATATTTGAAACTGGCCCTGATGTTTAGATAAGTCATTTGTACCCACCAGTTCTTGAAGGACAAAGAATGGTATTGAGGCTGGCCTCCCTTCTGGGTGTCTTGTAGGATGGAAGAACACAAAAGCAGGAGACTGGCTCCTCCACCTGTCAGATTCTGTCCTGTGCCCAGAGTTCCAAAAACTCCCTCCTATGGCATGACAGCAAGTGTTCACTATGGGAGGCATCTCCACTGGTTTCATCCTGAGTAGAAGAATAAGATGCTGGAAAGCCTAAAGCCATATTGAGAACAGTCTAGAATACTGTTCTGTCCTTAGCACTATCCTGAGTTCCAGATAAATTGCAAAATGTCTCAGAGTGAATCTATCTCCTGATGCTGGTGAGTTCTAATTCCCTGTTCCACACTTGTTGAGAACAGCAGAATTACCTCTCTCATGTCCTACTGCAATGCTTCTTAAAAACCTGGAAGCATTTGAAGTCTAGGGGTTAGAATACTATAGGATGTGTGCAGGGAATGGGGGTACCCCTCATATCATCAATCTTTCCAGATACTCAGAGTTCTTCTCTGGTGTTGGATGCCCTCGGTATCAAGGCACATATAACGGTGTTGTAAGAATGACCTTGGCCAGGTTACAATGAGAGTGATATTCCTGACCCAGGAGGTAGCTAAAATCAGAAAGCCTAAAAGAGCAACTTCTGGGCAAGATGGCAATGGAACAAGTCAGACTGTGAGAGTCTCCGCAAAAGTAAATGTCCATAAAACTTCTCTGCATGAGTAGGTGTGTGCCAGTGGATGAGTGAAAGTCTGTCTGAGGGAAGACTCAGGTTAATGCACCCAGGACTCTCCTCCAGAGGTGACTGCAACCTCCCACTGCCCTGAGATTAGAGACCCAGGTGCACACAATTGTCTGCTGTTCTCAGAACTCTCTTGAGAGGAGATAGGGGAGAACAGCTGTCGCTTGGCACCAGCACCCAGCTCACACCATCACCTGCAGCTGCAGACCTGGCACAAGAAAGCAGGTAGTGGAAATCTGGAATAAAGCTCAAACGCTGGTGACGGGTACAATCTTCTCAGTCCTGGACCAGGCAGAGACTTGCATTGACCAGCCCAGCTTCACCCTGCCTCTGTCTTGGAGCCCAGAGGCTATCTTCTCATCAGACTCAGAGAGTCAGATGTCCCTCCCCCATGCTGGAATAGGCACAGACATGTCAGATCTGAGTGGGAGACTTGATAGCAGCAGCAACCAGGAAGGTGACTCTGGATCTGAGCCACCCTCCTCCCACAGTAGTTTTTGGGGCTTCTTACTCACACTGAGAGTAACCCTATCAGCCTGCACTGAGAATGAAGGAGAGGTGCTGGAGACCAGAGCTGCTTCCTAAGGCAGAGGCCTGAAAGGAAACTGAAGTCACAGAAAATGCCAGAGGGCAAGTTTTTTTGTTAGTTTGTTTTTGTTTTAGTTTCAGCTTTTCTCCTTCACTCCTTCTTTGTGTTTTTATTATGTTTTAATACTTGCTTTGTTTCTGTTATTTTAAATTTTTTTTAGATTTTCTGCTTATGTATGGGTATTTTTGAGGGAGAGTACACTAAAGGGAGAAGTTTTAGTTTGTTTGTTTGCTTGTATGATTGTCTGCATGTTTTTCTCTTTCTTATTTTTTCTATCTTTGTTTGTCTCTGTTTATGCTAGTTGGCATGCCTGTCTGTTTTCCCTCTTCTTCTCTCTCTCAACCTCCCTTTCATCTTCTTCTTTCTTTGTTCCATTCTTTTCCCTTTTCCTATCTCATTTTGCTTTCAGGGGAGCAAAGAGACAACCCCCACTGCATGAACAAATTGTAAGGCAGTGGGAAGTGGGTTCCAGGGGGCACACACACCTGTCAGCAGATATTGGGATCTGCAGATAGCCTCTGAATTACAGCTCCTCCCTCAATTAAATCTCAAAACTGCAAAAGACACAGGGCCCCACCCCTAGTCAGCTTCAGAATTGAACAAAACCAGAGGATCCACATAAGGAAGAATAGCAGATTGAGCAAACAGAAATAAAAGCTATCCCCCTTATCACTGAACAAGAGAATTAAAGAAGAGGTTAAAAAAAGGGGGGGAGGGGGAGGAAAACCTACACAAATGAAAAAAAACCAAAGGAAAAATATGAGTAACACACAGACCCTGGGAGGTCAGCCACTGAGAATACAGACTCCTATACTAAATCAATGAAGAGCCCAAAGAATGACTGGTCTCAAACCACCAACCCAGATATCAAGATATTAACAGAGAGAATAAATAGAAATGAGGAGAGAAAAGAAAAGAATGAAGGAGTTGATAACTGAGCAATAAAGAATACAGTGAATGAAATAAACAACAAACTGATAAGCATGGAAAGCAGAATTAACCAAACAGAAGAAAGAATCGCAGAGCTTGAGAATCAAAACATGGAACTAGCTCAAACAGTTTAAAACACAGAAAAGAAACTTTAAAAGTCAGAACAAAACCTCCAAGAGATGAGCATATTTCAGGAGAGGTTGAACCTAAGATTAATTGGGATCCCTGAGACAGATAAAGAGACAGAGACCACCCTGGAACAAGCATTCCATGAAATTATCTAAGAACACTTCCCTCATCTCATCAGTGATATGACCATTCAAACACAAGAGATTCAGAGAACACCTGCAAGACAACAAATGAGAAGACCAACTCCCAGACACATATTAATTCATCTACACAAAGTAGGTATAAAAGAAATATCCTAAAGCAGCAAGAGAGAAAGGTCAGACTACCTACCAGGGAAAATCAAATAGAACAGCAGCAGATTTATCTAAGAAACACTTCAGACTGGGAGAGCTTGGAGTCCAATCTTCAAAGTTCTCAAAGATAATTTCAACCAAGAATTACCTACCCAGCTAAGCTAAGTTTCATTAGTGATGGAGAACTAAAATCCTTCCCAGGCATTCAGTCCCTAAGAGTTTACATTGCCGCATGACCAGCACTACAAGAAACACTTAAGAAAATATTAAACACAGAAGAAAGGAAAAAAAGAACAACAATGCCCTTCCCAGAAATGCAGGAAAAAGATTGAAAACACACATGAAAGAACTCAAAAATAAAAAGAAAGACAACAAACAAATAAACAAACAGTAGCAAAACAACAGTCTCTGTAAGAACCTCATGACAGGGATAAACTCTCAAATCTCAATAATTAGACTGAATGGAATGGACTAAATGCACCACTAAAAAGACACAGATGGTAAATTGGATAAAATATCATGAGGCTGCAGTATATTGTTTCCAAGAGATTCATCTTACCAGAAAGGACACTCACAGGCTTAAAGTAAGAGGATGGAAAACAAAATTTCAGGAAAAAAGGACCCAAAAGAAAACAGGAGTCATGATCTTAATATAGGACAAAATACCCATTAAGATATCAAAAATTTAACAAGATTTGGAAGGTCACTACATAATAATAAAAGGCTCAATCCATCAACAAAAAAATCCATCCTAAACATATATGCAACCAACATAGGAGCACCAACTTTCATAAAGCAGCTTCTAGGTAAATTTTAAAAAATATATTGTGTCTAATACTATCATAGCTGGAGACCTAAATACCCCACTAACAACCCTAGACAGATCATCAAGACAAAAAGTCAACAAGGAGATCCTGACCTCAAAGTGATGCTTGACCTAATGGACTTAATTGATACCTACAGAACACTCCACCCAACAACCACGGAATATACATTCTACTTATTACCACATGGAGCATACTCTAAGATCTACCACTTCCTTGGCCCTAAATCAAGCATAAATAAATTCCATGAGATTGAACTTCTGCTATGTACCTTCTAGGACCACAGTGGAATAAAAATAAATATCAGTACCAACAAAGATCCCCCAAAACCCACCAAGACATGGACACTAAATGGCATGATGCTAAACAACTTCTGGGTGAACACAGAAATCAAAACACAGATTAAAAGATACCTGGAAACATATGAAAACAAAGAAACCGCTTACCAAAATCTCTGGGATGCCATGAAAACAGTACTGAGAGGAGGATTCAAATCTCTATGAACACACATGAACAAAATAGAAAGATCACAAGTTAACAGCCTAACAAATCACCTAAGAAAGCTGGAAAAGCAAGATCACCAAAACCCTAACTTCAGCAGAAGAATCCAGATCACCAAAATAAAAGCCCAAATTCAGGACATAGAAGACAAAAATATCAATGAAACCAAAAGCTGTTTTTTTTTTGAAAGGATAAACAAGATTGATAGACCCCTAACTAGACTGACCAAAAAAGAGAGAGAAAAAGCCTAAATAAACACAATCAGAAATGCAAAAGATCAAGTCACAACTGACCTTGAAAAAATACAAAAGATTATCAGAGATTACTATGTAGACCTGCATTGAAACAAACTCAAAATCCTAAATGAAATGGAGGACTTTCTGACATCACACAACCTTCCCAGGTGGAAACAAGAAGAAATCAAGACCCTAAATAAACCAATAACAAGCCAGTAAATTGAATATGTCAAAAGAAAACTACCTACAAAAACAAAAAGCCCTATACCAGATGGCTTTCCAGCAGAATTCTATAAAACATACAAGGAGGAGCTGATTACAATCCTATTGAAAGTATTTCAGGCAATTGAGAAAGATGGAATTCTCACCAAATCATTTTATGAAGCTAACATCACATTGGTACCCAAACTGGGTAAAGATTCAACAAAGAAAGAGAACTACAAGTCAGTATCCTTGATGAACATAGATGCTAAAATTCTCAATAAGATTCTAGCAAACTGAATCTAACAACACATCTCAAAAATCATCCACCATTACCAAGTAAGCTTCATCACAGTGAGGCAGGGCTGGTTCAACATTGCAAGACCATAAACGTAATTAAATATATCATCAGATGTAAAAACAAAAACCTCATTATTATATCATTAGACGTGGAAAAGTTTTTGATAAAATACAGTCCCCCTTCTTAATAAAAATTCTCAAACATCTAGGCATAGATGGAACATACCTCAAAATAGTAAGAGCCATCTATGAGAAACCCATAGCCAACATACTACTAAACAGACAGAAATTGAAACCATTTCCCCTGAAAAATGGAAGACAAGGATGACCACTCTCACCTCTCCTGTTCAACATAGTATTGGAAGTCCTAGCTAGAGCAATCAGACAACAGAAGGAAATCAGGGTTATACAAATAGAAAAGGAGGAAGTTAAGTTCTCTCTCTTTGCAGATGACATGATTCTATACCTTGAAAACCCAAGAGAATCTGTCAAAAACCTCCTTGCACAGATAAAAGACTGGCAAAGTTTCAGGGCATAAAATAAATGTGCAAAAGACAGTCACGTTTCTATACACCAACAATAAACAAATAGATACCCAAACAATCCCATTCACAATAGTCACAAAAAAATGAAACACCTTATCCTCTTCCTAACCAGAGAAGTCAAAGACCTTTACAGCAAAAAGTACAAAACACTACTCAAAGAAATTAAAGATGACACAAACAAATGGAAAAATATTCCATGTTCATGGATTGGAAGAATCAACATTGTTAGGATGTCCATCCTACCCAAGGCAATCTACAGATTTAACGCAATACCCATTAAATTTTCAGCAGCATTCTTCTCAGATCTGGAAATGACAATACAGGAATTCATATGGAAACATAAACCACCATGAAAAGTGGGAAGTATCACACTCCTAGACTTTAAGCTTTATTATAAAGTTACAATGATCAAAACAGCCTAGGATTGGTACAAGAATAGACATATAGACCAATGGAACAGGATAGAAATTCCAGAAGGAAAACATCAATTTCTCAACCAACTCATCTTCAATAAAGCCTCTACCACCAACCACTGGGGAGAGGAGAACCTATTCAGTAAATGGTGCTTGGAAAACTGGCTGACCACATGGAGAAGATTAAAACAAGACCCCCACCTATCACCATGCACAAAAGTCAACTCTAAATGGATCAAAGACCTACATGTAAAACCTCAAACTATAAGAACCTTAGAAAATGCAGAAGACACCCTTATAGAAATTGGAACTGGCAACTGATTCCAGATCAAAACCCCAAGTCCCCATGCCATAAAGGATGAGTAGACAAGTGGGACCTCATCAAACTGACAAGCTTCTGCAAAGCCAAAGAAATTATCAAAAGAGCAGGGAGATAGCTCACTGACTGGGTAAGAATATTTGCCAACTGTATAACTGACTAAGGCTTAACATCTAGGATCTCCTAGGAACTCAAGTGTGCCAAAAAGAAAAAACCAAACAGCCCATTACAAAATGGGCATAGATATGAATAGACACTTCTCAAAAGAAGATATACGAACAGCCAACAGATATATGAAAAATTACTCAGCCTCACTGGTCATCAAAGAAATGCAAATTAAAACCACACTCAGATACCATCTAACTCCAGTCAGGATGGCCATCATCAATAATTCAGAAACCAACAGATACTGGAGAGGATGTGAGGTAAAAGAACTGCTTCTACACTGTTGGTAGGAGTGTAAACTAGTACAACCTATGTGGAAAACAGTTTGGTGATTCCTAAAAGGTCTAAAAATCGACCTTCCATATGACCTTGCAACCCCCCTACTGGAAATATACCCGTAGGAACCCAAATCACTCTATGAAAGATACCTGCACATGCATGCTTATTGCAGCATTAACAATAGCAAAAACATGGAACCAACCATGCTGTCCATCAAAAGAGGACTGAATTTTAAAAATGTGGTACATATACACGATGGAATATTATGCAGCCATAAAGTATGACAAAATTATGAATTTCCCAGCAACTTAGATGGACTTAGAGTCTATAATACTGAATGATCTATCACAGAAACAAAGAACTGAGTACCACATGTTCTGACTCATAAGTGAACCTTGAACAATTATCATAATACTATAAGAGAAGGATTGGCGGTAGTGGGAATATGCCCATGGGTGGGCAGGCAGGATGGGGAATAGGGGGATTCTGCCGGAGGGCACACATCATCCTCAAGGATACCTGCATAATGAACATTTGTATACTTAACCCTGAATTGTACTCCGTATCTTTAAAATAAATAAATAAATAAATAAAAATTTAGAAAAAGAAAGTCTAAAAGAAAAGACTTTAGCATTATTCATAATAGCCAGGATATGAATACAACCTAAGTGTCTATCAATGGATGAAGGGATAAAGAAAATGTGGTATATATACACAATGGAATACACTCAGCCTTAAAGAAAAATAAAATCCTGCCATTTTCAACAACATGGATGAACCCGAAGGACATTATGCTACGTGAAATGAGACACAGGAAAACAAATACTACATGATCTCACTTATATGTGGAATCTCAGTAAGTTGAACTCATAGAAGTAGAGAATAAAAGGGTGGTTGCCAGGGGATAAGGGGAGGGGCAAACAGGGAGATACTGGTTAAAGGGTACAAAGTTTCAGTTAGATTGGAAGATGCAATTTTAGATCTATTTTACATCAAGGTAACTATAATTATTAATAATGTTTTGTATACTTGAAATTTGCTAAGAGAGAACTTAAGTGTTCTCACCACACATACATACACACAAACACACACACACACATCCACTATGTGAGGTGATGATGTGTTAATTAGCTTGATTGTGATAATCATTTCACAATGCATATGTACATAAAGACATCACATTGTGCACGCTAAATATATACTATTTTATTTTGTCAAGTATACCTCAATAACTTTGGAATAAAAAAATAAAAGTGAGCTAAATGATAAAGAAAAATCCAAGTTACCACATTTCCACTACACAAGTGGTATCATGCTACATGCTTTCATATGCTGTCTTATTAAATTATCCCAACAACTCTGTGAGGTAGGTGTTAGTTTTCCCATTTTATAAATGAGGAAATTGAGATTTGAGGTGGTTAAAAAAAATTCAGTTACTCAGGTAATCAGAATGAAAAAGCCCATGAAAATGCCCAACTCTGATAGACGAAAAAGGCTAGCTTCCCAAATGTTATCAATTGGCATAATTAAGATTTAAAAAGCCTTCTTCATAAGACCATTATTATATCCAATGAAGAATGCTTTTCCAGCCTTACAGGTAATAAAGCAAGCAGTTACTGCCCAAAAGCCATAGGAGAAGAAAAACTATCAACATTCTTCATAGCGATAATACATTTGCAGGACAAAATACTAGCTATTAAAACATTCCATGAACAGGAAGCAGCTGAATCCAGTATTTCCCATAAGCATTTACAGTAAAATGGGCATCTGGTATTTGCATGCCTTCAAAGTTTCCTGCAGCTTGTCATTGGGACTCTGAAAATAACCCAGTTTTACTGAATTATTGATTATATCCAGGCCATTTGCAAACTCCAGCTGAGGCTCAAATGCTCAGGGGCTGCAGAAAAACCACAATGAAAGATGAGAGAGAGAGAGAGAATGAGAGAGAGCACTCGCAAATGCAGGAGCACCATGACTGTTCTCGGCATTCCCCATGTGGGATTTACATGAGGAGTTCATTTTTATTACCCGTTTTCTGGTCTTGTCTTTAAGGAACGGCTTGATGAGCGTATAGAGGGCGTGAATGTACCAGGGCTGGTTGACAAAATGGACTCCTCCGAAGCGGGCAGGAAAGCTGTCCTGCGGTAGAAAGAGAGACACAAACACCGGTTAGTAACCACTCCAGGTTAGACTGCACCAGCCGAGACAAAGTCTCAGAGAACAACCTGTATCTTCTGTCTGGTAGAAGCTCTAGCTTTATGGTGGGGAAAGGAAGAAAATGCACTTCCTAGCTGTTAAGGTTTACTCTATTTCCCTTGCCGCCCTTCTGTCCTTTTGACTCCACAACTTTACAGTCGTGCATAGGTGCCGGGCCTGTCTTCTCCAAATCACAATTGTGTGACCTCTGACATGGCATGGAAGCATGTGCAGCCTGGAGAATGATGGGAGTCTGAATTCCTCGCGGCGTTAGGTAACCAAGGCTTCAGTTCCCACAGGCTCTGAGCACAAGATCTCTCTTTATTCCCATTTCCACTCTCTCCCTCCTACCCTCTCTACAAGTATTATCATGACAATAGCTGAACTTTCTGGGTGAGTGAGCTCTTGCGGTGTAGGAAGTGGTTGCTGCAAAAGAATTTCAAAGGATCTTAGTAGATGGGGCTCTGTAGAATCAACCAAAGTCTAACAAGACAACTTTTTCACAGATTGCAGAACTAGCTCCTGCTCCACCCTGGGGGCACCCAGTAAGTCCCAGGGAAATGATACTTGATTGATGGGCTGGTTGATCCCCCTAATGAGGGAATATGAACAAGTTTTTCTGCGGATCAACCCATTTTGTAAATATCAGGAAGTAACAGCATTTTAAAAAATGATTCCAATTTTAGAATCCAGATCAGGCCGTTGGAATCCAGATCAGTTTATGTCTTAGACACTGGGAAGCTGCTCCCTGTGCTAATTAGATCTATAGAACATGAGACCTTTGACCACAAAGTCTGAGCTAGTCCCACAAGACCAAGATCTCCTAACAGCAGATTGCATTCATCTCTGTTAACAGAATTAAGAAAGGACCATCTAAATGCTATTTCAATTGCCAAGTTTGCTGTCAATTTCATTGTGACAAACATCTTTGTAAAATGCTAGCAAAATGAGATGAAAGCAGAGGGAGTCTAGCTGGCTGAGTTAACAGTTCAGGCAGCTCGTTGCTCCCTGCGGGTGTATGAAATGCCTCGCCTGGGTCTTTTTTAGTAACAAGGAAAGAGGGTTATTAACTTTTTTTCAGAACCCTTTGAGTCTGCAGGATCCCTAAGCATCTTCCACTCTGAGACCTAGTTTCCAACGTAAGTGCATGGAACTGCGCTTAAGGGTTGACATTTGAAAGGCTTAAAATAATTTTTTGCCTCTATCTAGACATTTTACAGAGTAGAAAAGAATTAAATATTTTGAAGACTAAACTGGACAGTTTCAGTAAAAGTTATTTGCTGTGTAGAATATTTTGTTGTTTCTTTTATTTTCAAAACCTTAGTGAAACCACCAAGTACAGAGGTAGAGAGATCATTTATACTAATTTTTATATTTGCCATGATCTCTAATTTTATTTATTTATTTTATTTTATTTTATTTTTTGAGTTGGAGTCTCACTCTGTCACCCAGACTGGAGTGCAGTGGCCGCTCCCGGCACCGCGGCCTCAACCCGCTGGGCTCCGGCAATCCTTCCACCTCAGCCTCCGAGTAGCTGGAACTATAGGAGCATGCTACCACATCCGGCTAATTTTTGATTTATTGTGGATATGAGTTCTCGCCAAGTTGCCCAGGCGGGTCTCGAACCCGCGGGCTCAGGCAGTCCACTGACCTCAGCCTCCCAAGGCGCGGGATTACAGGCTGAGCCACCAAGCCCAGCTATGATCTCTAATTTTAGAAATGTAAAAGTGTTTAATAAGGTTGTCTTTTCTCTTTTAGGTACAGTTCAGAATCTAAAAGTTTTTTGGCTCCTTAAAAAAAGACCTTTTCTAAAACTTTTTTTTTTGTAAGAAGTGCTATGTGCAAGCCTCACTCCTTTTGGCTTCTTTTAACTTCTTATTTAGAAATATAATTCATGATCTCACATTCTAATTGTGGGTTCTGAGAGTCTACAAAAGAAAAATAAGAGTAAAGCATTTGCTTATAAAACCAGGACTTTACTATCTTTTTTAGTAGGGTCAATAAGAGAGTTCTCTTTTATTTTAATAGTTGATGGTTTTATATAATTCTAGACTAGTAAGGTGGGGAAAAAAAAAACTCTAAATGAAACTCTAGAGATAGTAGGCAAAACCACAAAATATCAACTTTTTAAAAATATCTGGAGACTTAATTTAGTTTATAAATTAATAATCAAAGACATCAAAAACTATCTTCTGATTCTGTCAGGGGAGGTTGAAATAAAAATATAGGTCTGAGATCCTATAATTTTTCCCTAGGTTGGTCCTGGCTGATGAGCCTGCCAGATTGAAGGTATGGGCTTTTATTCATCTCATTCAAGTCAGCTAGTGGGATATATGCTGATAAACATGTATAAACTGTGCCATGGAGCTCTGGGTTTGTGCTAGAGTTAAACAGAAACACTTTTCTTCAGGTTTCTCCTATAAAATTTAAATGAAGGGGATTTGTGCTAGATAAAGGTAATATATAAGTGTTCTGGGACTCTGGAATGACCCGGGCCATGTCATTAATAATCACAGGTGTGTGGGGAAAGGGGATTGCAAAGGGGAAGGTGAGGGAAGGTAAAATGAAAAAACACAACTTTCTTCTAGTCACATCATTATCAGTCTCCTCTGCCTAATCATATTAGCTAACTGCACAAAAAGGAGAGGTTGTTAGTCACATTCGAGTCTCCTAGGACCCCCAAGGGGATCTACTATCCTCATGCAAATGCATTTCTTAGGGGCTGGAGCAGACCTATCTCAAGGTGGTAGGCCTTGATTCAATGACAGCAAAACACTTGTCTTTCAGAGTTCTTAACTAAAGAGTATGCACCAAAACATTTTTTAAGTTTAAGAAAATAGTATTCATTTTGAACATTTTAATACATTTGTCAATAAAAACACAACATCATTTCAAATTATAAACATATTTAAGTTATAAAATGTTCCTGCCCCCAGTTTATTTTAAATAAATCTTGTTTCCTTATTACAAAAATAACACACATTCTAGAACAGTAAAAAATAGATTTTTTTAAAAAAGTTCTATTTGAAAGATTACAAAATACTAGATAAGAAAAAAGAAAAGAAAAAATCACCAATAATCTCACTGCTAAAGCATGCTCTATCATTCAGGATGGGTTATACAATGTTATAATAACAAATAAGGCGTGCCTTTTAACATTTAAAATGATAAAGATTGATTCCTCGCTCACACTAAATGTCTGGGTTGATTTTTGTCTTTCCTGATTGATTTCTTGCTCATGCTAAATGTCCTGCCTTGCTTAATTTGCTCCCAGTCAGGGATGCAGCCTCACCCATCTGAAACAGTATTGCTTGCCACCGCCCAGAGAAACCACATGGAATAATCATACCTAGGTGCTTAAAGTTGGCCCCAAAATGATGTGCTTCATCTGTCACATTTTACAGGCCAAACACATGCCTGACTTCTAGGTGTTCGGGTGGTAAAATTCCTCCATGTGCCCATTAAGAAGAGGATCAATTGTATTGGTGAACAGCACTAATGAGGACCCAAGCTCTGCTAATCCTTCTATCCTTTCTAAATTGGATCATTTTTTAAAAATGGACTTTATAACTATTCATTAATGGTCTACAATATGCTCGACTTAATGCACTGAATAAAATAATATAGAGTTTACAGAGTAGTGGGGAAAACCTCAAACAGTAATTACGGAATGATATATTTAGTATTTTAAATTCTTCCCTAAACAATTTGTTCATGCCTTGCACCTCTTTAATTCAGGACATATTTATGAGTGTTCACTACATGACAAATGATGGGCTATATTCTCTAAACTTTACTTTCCAGAAATTGCCACTGACTAGGTTCCTCTGTGATTTTGACCCCTTTTCCTGCCTTCTGTAATCTGAGCTCATGCCCACACTGCTGAGGTCAGTAGCTTTCATTTTATGGTGATCTCAATGTAAAGCATACTTTTTTTGTTTGTTTCTTTATCTTTTTTTTTTTTTTTTTTGCATTTTCAATAACTTACCATTTGATTCGTACTTCCATTTAATCCATAGTCTCAAACTCCATAACACAAGAAGAGCTGTGGTAAGCTTACTCTCAGTTAAATGGTATAGCCCAACTTTATTCACTTTTTAGACTTCTCTTTTAAGGCTACTTCATTCTTTTCTAATTTTTTAAGTTTTCAAATTTAAAACACATTACCTTCCCTATAGAGCCTATGAGATGAGAATAGAAGGCCATAGTTTAGCAAAAACGTGTTCCCTTGAGGGTACCCACAGATCCTCTTCTACTATAATGATAGAGTTCTGCAATTATGGTAGAGTTCAGTACAGTGGTTACTATACTAATAGAGTTCAGAAGAGTGGTTACTATACCTCTTCTACTATAATGATAGAGTTCAGTACAGCCTTGGGTATTGCATATGAAATAAACATAAGAACACTTTGAAAGTAGAAAGAAAAAAACAGAAGAGCTAGGAACTTCAGGATCCAAGAAATAACATGGTAGAGGGTTTCCTGGGTTTCCTTTTTTTTTTTTTTTTTTTTTGCTTCATATAACCTAGATATGGGGCCAAAAAAAAACAGTATTCTGGAAATAACAACTGGTGAAGACAAAAAACAAAAGCAAACAAGCAAATAGGAACTTCACAAAAGGCTACTACTCTTTAATCAAATAACTGGTTAAGGAACAGCCTAGCAAGATAGACAACTTTTAGACAATAGCTGCTCTACTCCAGTCAAACAACACAGAAATAAAACTGTGGTCCCTTTTTCACAATGCTTGCAAAGCCTGAGTGACCAGCATGGACTTTCAATCTAGCAAGGCTGTAATAAGGTTTGTAACATCACTGCCCAGGTAACATTACAGAAGCCCAAAGTAGACAGACAGAACTTTTATTTCTGCTGGCCAATAATGATATTCTCTTTCACCCTGGAAGTGTCAGTGGAGACCATGAGGGAAACATGGACATCCTGCCC